CGCCAGGGCCAGCCGGGCCCTCGGAAGCGCTGCTCGAGCTCGGGCTCCAGCCTTGAGCCGCGCAGGGTGCCCTGGGGCCGGTGCGCCCACCCGCGCCAGACGCCCGGGGCCACTCGCTGGCGGTCACCGAACCTCCTTTTTTGGTGTGCTGGTCCTGGGGGTTGAACTCTTCAAGCCCAGGCAGTCTCTGAGCTGTTTTTGCCCAAGGCCAGAGCCCTACCGCTTGGGCCTCAACTCCACTTTGGGCTTTTTCTTTTTGGTGGTTAATTGGAGAGAAGAGTCTCAAAGGCTTTACTGCCAGGCTGGCTTTGAACCTTGATCCCCAGATCTCAGCCTCTTGAGTGGCCAGGATTACAGGTGTGGGCCACTGTTGCGTGTCTTAAATGTCTCAAACTGGGGACCAGAGTCTTCATTCCAGCCGTACCAAGACTGAAAAAGCAAAAGCTCCTGGCAACGTTAGAGATAACAGCAAAGGAAACCCTAAGGACAGATCGCCCCTCACCAGGGAACGTGCAGCCTGTGGGCAGGCAGTGTCCTCACAGCCAAGGGGGTCTGGGGTTAGAACTGGAGCCTCAACCCATGATCAGCCTCCCCTCCAGCAACTGCCTGTTCTACTAGTCTGTAAACACATGAGAAGTTGGTATAAATGGCTGACATCTTCTTGGTGGGAAACAGGTTCAGAAAGTTCCCAGGACTTGTAAGAAAGAGAAATGTAGCAAGAAAGGAGGCAAGGGGGAGGAGAGGGAGACATTCGAAGGACACCCGCCTCTGGTTTGCCCTGGGCTGCCCTGTTTGCTCAGCTCTTGATGCTGCTTGGACTTTGGATGCTGATACCTTTCCTCCAGTTCACACCAGATAAAAATAGAGCACTGGGCACAGGCACCCTCTCTAGAGTGGTCTGGGATTGATATGCTGAGGAGGCCGCTGATTAGATACTCCTCCTGGGCCTCTGCTCAGAACTTCCCAACCATGTTTGGGTTGGTCTGGGGGAGAAGCCTTGGGGGCAGCTAGGGGTGGAGCCAGGTGGGAGGCTTAGCTGGAGTCAGGCCCACCGCACAACTGGCCTTTTAGAGAGAGCAGGGCCGCCTCAGCCTGCATAGACACGGAAGAAGCGGAGGAAAGAGAGGTGAGCCTGGTGGCCAGGCATGTCCCATGCCCAGCACTCATTGCCTGCGTCTTCACTGTGCTGAGCCCCGACTTTACCCTCTGTGAAGGACACAGTCACTTGTTTGTTTCTTTTTATTAGTATATATCAATTGCACAAAACTGTTTTCATTGTGACATTTCTCTGTATGCATATAGAGAGCCAGGATCTAATTTACCTTCCTCTTCATTTTAAAAACCATTTAAGGGTTTTTAAAATTGTTTTCACAATAAGTCTTTCCTTACACTGCTATTGAGTATTGTGTTAATAACAAATTATATATTATATAGAAGACTCAAAGTGAATTTGACCTATTTGAATTAAGTAACATTTTTGTAAAAAATAGCACTCCTCTTCTCCTTCCCTTCTCCCCCCTTCCACCTCTCCCTCTTTCTCCTCCTTTCTCCTTCTGCTTCTCTCCTCCTCTCTCCCCATCTCTCCCCTTACCCTCTCTGTCCCCTTCTTTATCCCCCTCCCTCCCACCTTTCCTCTTTCCCTCCCTTCTCTTTCCCCTTCCCTCCTCCCTAACCCCCTCTCTCCCTCTCTCTCTCTCTTGATGTTGTACTAATCCTGAGGCTTGAACTTAGTGCCTGGGCACTGTGCCTCAGCTTTTTCCAGGGCTAGTACTCTACCAACTGAACCATAGCTCCACTTCAGGCTTTTTTTGGTATTTGATTGGAGATGAATCTCTTAAATTTTACTGTCTGCTGGCCTTGAACCACGATCCTCAGATCTCAGTCTCCTGAGTAGCTAGAATTACAGGTGTAAGCCACCAGGGCTGGCTTAGCAGCTCTCTTTTGAAGAATGGGGATTTAGCACTGTATTTAGCAGTGTCTCATTGATTGTGGAACTTGAAGTAAGCCAGTCTCAAAGACTCTGATAACAGTGCAGAGAAGGGCTAGTCTTCCCTGTAAGTAGATATCAGAGGCATGTGCTGGGCAGGGAAAGGCACCATTTCTGGAATCTTCACAAAAGAGGGTGGCTAAAGATTCAGAGAAAACATTGGTAAGTAGAGTAAGACTGAAGCTGAAGAGCATTTGTGTGAGAGGAAGTTCTGCTTGACAGGGTCTCGGGAGGGATTCCCCTGGTCACTGCCGTGGATGGAACACCGTTGTATTGGACCTGAGTCCTCAGCAGGACTTCAAGGCTCAGATCAGTTCCAGTCCGCCCACCCCAGGCTTATGGATCCTACTGGGGAACAGTAGATTGGTGAAGGGCCAGTTTTGTGAGACTTTAAAAATGTTTCACATATTTGCGTCCAGTTCATTTTAAAACAAGAAGGGCTTTTCATAATCATTTTTTTATTGTGAGAATACTGTACACAGGAGTTACAATTACATGGGCAAGATAATGAGTACATTTCTTATCAAGCATTGTTGCCTCCTCTTTGTTATTCATAATCATTTTTATCATAAGAAAGAATACTTTAGCCCAGTACTGGTGGCTCACGCCTGGAATCCTAGCTGCTCAGGAGGCTGAAATCTGAGGATCATGGTTCAAATCCAGCCCAGGCAGGGGGATTAATCTTAATCTCTACTTCACCACCAGAAAACTGGAAGTGGCGCTGTGATTCAAAGTGGTAGAGTGCTAGCCTTGAGCACAAAAGCTCAGGGGCCCTGCCCAGGCCCTGAGTTCAAGCCCCACCACCCAAAGAAAAAAAGAATACTTTTTAAAAAGACTTGTGGTTAAAGTACTCAAGGTCCTTTCTTCTAGCTTGTTGACGTGTATAGTACAGTATTGTTAACTAATGTCA